TAATATGAAAAGGCAAGAAGTCTGCAATAAACCCTACTAACTTAAATCATCTACATTTGTGTACAAGCGTTCATATTTAGCAACAGTCCCAAGGCTGAGATTAAAGCTGTTTGGTAGGTTACTTCAAGGCCTTTTTATTGCTAAATCTTATTATGTCTCTAAAATGTAGAAATTAATCACCTGTCATCAAAGCTACAGTAGATTATTGACTTCTAAATGTCTCTACGAAGTGATTCATGACAGAATGAAACAGGAGACTGAACTAGCATTGAAATTCTTTTTGCATGTGATAAAAAGGGTCTATTAAAAGTGTTTGAACAAATGCTGGCTATTAGGTAATCATCACAAAGGATTTTGTTATCAAAACGTGGTGCTTCTTGAATAACCTCATTCAGTTACATAGATTTGCAACACTATTCCTCTAATGGGAAAGTTATCTGGAGAATTTAGATTGTTCATCTGAGAAGCCTGACATTAGCTAAATTGCAGCAGGATTTTCTGATCCACCTGCAAGACAGTGATGGTAATGTATTGTTTACACTCACTCCCAGGTATTTTACCCAAAATCATGTGGGTATTCCAATTAAGAATCATTGGGTTGTGACAGGAAAGTTTCTTATGATTTGGATATTTTGCTGTATATTCAGTGTCAGTTTTTCTTTGAAACATGACAAAAAATGCCATGAGGATGTACTGTAGAGGAAGAGCAATCTGGCTTTTGATTAAGGCAAAGTTAGTTTCTTAAGGATTTATAATGACCCCCCTTCAGTTAGAAGTATCATATAGCTGGACAGTGGCTGTGGTATGTGATCTGGGGATGCAAGCTGCATTGGCTACTGCTTCTGGGAGAAGTCTATATATCCCAGATTGCTCCTGATAAACCTCTGTTTGTCCTACTCAGTGGCCCTTCTGGAAATCTGAAAGAAAGTCCTCAGTAAAGATATGCTGATACACATTTATTTTTCAAAAAGGAAAATGTTAAAATTATTTTCTAAGAAAATCAAGATGGAGAACATAGAGATTCTGGACAAGTATCCTAGGTGTTCTGATTATATTAGAAGGCCAGGTTTACAACAAACATCTTTGGAAAGATGATTTTTTAATGGATTTTCACTGGTCACATTATGGGTCTACAGAGAATGCCTCAGTTTTTGCTTTTAACAGGCAGGGTTTTTGGCTGAAGGGTACTTCCTCCCCAAAATTCCACAGCATGCTTTCCCACACTAACTCTTTGCAGACTCGCCCTAAGTGTACCTGCATTTCTCTGTTGCTTACATGCATTATAAGACAGAGGTTTACTGAATTTTCACTTAGGGTCACTTTTCTCTCTAGTACAAGTTAGGGAAAAATGAAGGAAAGATATGTTTTTAGGTAGGAGACTTGGGAAAAGAAAGATTATAATTGCAAAAAATAGCGCAACAGCAGTTTTCTTAATCCATATGCAAACCTAGAATTTTTCTCTAGCTATTTTTAGTACCCCTTATCTGCAAGTTGTTTGGCATGGTTTAGCTGCTAAAGTCAACTATCTTGAGTTCCTACAGCCATCCTTGTGATGGCTTCCATGGGGCTCACTAACTGCATCTTCCTCTACTCTTGCTTCCCTTTTCCACATGGATTTTTACAGGAAAATAATGTTGATTTGAATAAAACTGAAAATGCTTTTGATAGCCCCATATGGAGTCAGGCAATTTGGGAACTTAAAATGATTATCCTCATTCAATCTAACCTGCTCAGAAGGGGATTTCTGTGTGCACGTGTCTGTGTTTTCCTGCTTCCTGTGTGCTATGAATGGCTTTTTTTGCAAGCCTTAGGGTGTGCAAAGGGTTTTCTGCCTTTGATCCTTGTCAGCTTGCTGTTTCTATCCTCATTGTCCTAGTTGGTTTGTTCATTTTGAACTCCTATGTCTTCCTTGTGACTAAGAGTATTACATGAGACCTCCTTAGATGTGCATACATGTTGTGCATGTAGACTATGTGCCTATGGTCCCTGCAGAGACCCTAGATTATTGACACAGAGAATAGAAATATCTTGCTCCAGCTGGGCATGACAGTGTGAGAAAATGTTTTCTGTCCTTATTCCCATTCCCCTCAATTTTAACAGACATTCCTATGTTTAATAGTTAAACACAGATTAAAAAATTGCTGATGTGCACTTTCGGTGGTCACAGAAACAACTGTGAGAGTCACAAACCTGTTGATTGGAAGAGAGCTCTGGCAGTCATCCAATGCAAATCCAAGTGCTCCAGGACTATACCCCACTGAGTGCTGAAGACCACAGCTACTCTGGGCATCATGTCCCCTCTACAAAAAGTTTTTTCCTTAATGCCCATATGGAAACTCACAATCCACAACCTGTGGCCCTTGGCCTTTATTATTGTCTGCCACTGATAGAAGAGTTTGGCTTCCTTGTCTTCCTAACTACCTCTCAGGCAATTGTGGGTTACTGTTTGATCATCCTTTAGTCTCTTCTTCACAAAATAAACAAGCCCACCCCGTCCTCTCTTCACAAACTGTAAGCTGTAAGTCCCTGACCATCTTCATAGACCTCTGCTTCCACCTTGAAATCTTTCTTTAGTTTCCGCATGTCACTCTGGATCTGTGGGCACACACTGAACATTCAGGGTGCAGCCTTATCTGCACTGCACAGAGGGGCCCTCTGCAGGGCACCCTCCTCCTCATGCACCTTACTTGTGAACCTGCTGCTGGTTTGTATTAGTGGTGTCTTCTGTAAACTAACTCAGCAGTAGGTACCTGTGGATCTGTCCATTGGGCTGCTGTGCTTGCAACTTGGCAGTTTCCTTGATGAGCATCATGAGCTTTTTGTTGGTCCAGCGCTCAGGTTTCTCAAAGTGCCTCTGGACCAAAGCTCAGCCATTCTCTTTAAATTCAGTGTTGTCTGCAGATTTGCTGAGGGTGCAATCTGTGTCATTATCCCTGTTGTTAATGAAGATGTTGAAAAATGTGAGCCCCAGCACTGACCCCTGGGGTACTTTTCTTATTACTAGATACCAGTCATAGGTTGAATCATTGATCACTACCCTTTGGGTATGGTAGTACAGCCAATTTTCAACATACCTGACAATTCAGCCCACACAATATTGCTATTCATATAGAATAACATATCCTTTGGGGTTTTTTTTTAATGATTTTAGAATAGATAAAAATGCAAAAATGTCAACTGTCTAAAATATGGCAGGTGTGGCCAGTGATGAAATCAAAGTCCATGTCGGCCTCATACTATATTCAGAACAGTTTGGGTAAATTTTTGAGCCAAGTAACAATGTCACATCAAAGTGACTGTGAATAACCTCTTTTTTGTTTTCATTTTTTTTTAATATGTATTAGTTCTCAAATTTGTACCCTTGTTTGTTTATTTATTTTTCCCTACAACTTGGGGTCCACTTAAGGTGAATAAAAGCTTTTCTGAACTCCTAGCGATATTGCTGGGTCATCCTAAAATATTTATCACTAGTATTTGCAAACACCTTGTAGCATAGCTGTAGAAATGTAGGTGAAAACAAAAGTTATTAAGATTCAGAGGTGACTGACGCAGACACCATAGCTGTCAGCTTACTAATAGCAGTGGCAAAAATGAGAAATTAATTTTCTAGAAATACAGCCCTCTACCATTTGAAATAAAGCACTGTATTGCTGTCTGAAAAGCCTCACACTGATGTTTCCAAATTTTTGTGCATTTCTAGACAGGAAAACAGAAGGATTCTTTTTTTATTTTGAATCGTCTTCTATTCTTTCTCTTAGAAATACGTTAAAAATATGTTACTGCTTATCTTATGAAGCTATGGTTTTTGTTTTCACTTGAACTTAACTTTTAATCAAAACGTTTTTGAAGAAATATTTTCAAGATTAAAGCAGAAGTGGTAATTCAGTACTGGCCTATGAGTATAGAGAAGCAATAACATGACCTGCTGGTTGAAGAACATTAACTTTGTCTCTCTGCCAGAGACTAGTGGGAGAGACTGGGCTCAGATGAGCATGCATCTTAGAAAATTCAGAGATGTAGAGACCTTGCCATTATCACCAGGTCTCTTAAGGCCTTTTAGAGCCTTCTGTAGGTTTTCCTTTCTGACAGATACTAGCTTTCCTGGTTTTTTATTCCTCTTTCCTGTAGATGCTAAAAAAATTGAAGGAAGAAGTAGGATTGAAGAAAGCATAAACTCCTCTCAAGTGTTCTTTCAACTCAGCTGCAATTGCACACCTATGAGACAGGGGAAAAAAACAGCTATTGGAGGAAGGACTTGAGAAGAGAGAATGAAGATGACAACAACAGAGTGAATGACTCCTGACCGATGTTTTCATCTTCGGATGGAAGTTTGTGTGTGTGTGTGTTTATATATCAGGAAAATGGGACATGCTTATTCCTCTAAAACACTTGTATAACAGGTGTAAAACTGTATAAAACTGTATAAAACTGCCTGTACTGAGAATAACAAGAAGTCTCCTTTCAGTGTTCCATGTGAAAACGAGGACAGTGAAAGCTCCTTGTGCTGTAGTCTCTAATGCAAATATTATTGTTAATGAGCATATGAAAAAATGGGACAGGTAATTACATTTGTTGAAATTATGTGTTTTGAACTGATTGGTTTTAGCAAGATTTTTGTAAAATACTTTCTATGTGGAGTGTTTATTTATAAATTCAGATTCACAGCCACACTGTGCCAACAGAGGTTGCTCTTCAGGGCAAAACTCACTTGCAAAGCTACGCTACATTTCAGAGACCAGATTCCTTATTATCAATGAAAGAAGGCAGGCACTCCAGAGAGCCTTTCACTGTTTTCTTTGGCTAAAGAAAACCTCTCAGACCTTGTCTATCTGAAAGAAGAGGTATCTTTGTATTTTGTGGAACACTGAAGACACATCTTTTCCTCTAATCCTAAAATTGCATCCAGTAAAAGAGTTTAGATGAGAGCCTCTAAATCACAGTGATGCCTCTTTAATTATGGTATGTCGCGGTCCGAAGGGAGGAGGGGACAGGACACGAGGAAGGGTGCAAGCAGAATTCTTTATTCAGGCGTGTGTCCGATTCTTAACCGTCCCGCCAGGGAAAAGGGGGCAGAACATAGGGTGGGCTATCAGACAGAGCAAATCAGAATAGGGCACAGGCAAAAGGGGGAGGAGGAAGCCTGGGCATGTGCAGTTGTGCACTGTGTAGAAACCACATAATAACAGTAAAGTCCATATGAAAGTCCTGCCAATTGCTGTATGCTTTTAACTGTTCCCATCATGAATCTTGCTTCTCTACATCTCACCCTTTCTTATTAGTTTGAAAAATGCCTGTTGTGATAGTCCTTCTTGCAGCATGCTGTGATACAAGAAATAGTTTGTAACAAAACAAACAGACAAAGCAAAATTTCAAAGCAAGTGGACAGCTGCATTTGCTGAGAGACTCCCCCGCTAAAAATTGTTTCCAGCCCGAGATGCCACTGCTCCATGGTGTCTAAAAGCTTAGTGATAGTGGTCTTCTGTGGACTATGAGATCCTGGAAAGTAAGCAGAACATGTTAGAAGGGAGAATTTAGGATTGGGATCACGTGATAAGGGCATAACTTGCATAATCAGTTCATCTGATTTGAGCTGAACTGCAGGGATTGCTGTGGTTTCCTGGCACTTGTTGAAGGGATGGGCTATGCAGGATGGAACGCGGTTGAGGGGGTGCTGCCGTGTTTCTTGACAGTTCACAGGTGCACTGTTTAAGATCTGGCATTGAATTAAAAGTCACTTTTCTCCTCAAGTCTGGTGACTTTTTCGGGGGTAGCAGTTGTCCATAAATGTTAGTAAGGGAGCGGCAATCTTTAGTCCAGTGTCTGCCTTTCCCACATCGTTTGCACGGCGTCTTGGGAAGCTCAGTCTTTGTAGTTAATTGTGGGCAGATTTTTTTTATATGTCCTGTCTCACCACAGTGAAAACAGGTTTGTGGTCCAGCTAAAGCTTCAGCTATTAGTCTTGCTTTATGAGAATTAGACCCCACATTACGACATGCCTTGACCATGTCCATAGGGGTAGGATCCCTAAGAGTTCTTAGTATTTGTTGGCAATCATCATTAGATTGCTCTATAGCCAACTTTAAAAATAGTGCATCCTGAGCTTCTGGGTGTTTAACTTGTTTAGCAATGGCTTTCTTTAGTCTTTCTGCAAAGTCTATGAATGGTTCTGTTGGTTTTTGTTGTACTTGTGTGTATGAAGGTGTAGGTTCCGCAGCCTCAGCAATGGTTTGAATAGCCTGGAAAGCTAGATTTTTTGAAATGTCCGATTCATTCATAGGAATTTTGATTTGGGCCTCATTGGAAATATAAGGTCCCACTCCGAAAAGTCTATTAAAGGACTCCAGGACTGGGGTCCCTGTGATTGCTGAGGTTTGCTGGGCGTGCTGGCGAATACGAGTTTGCCATTCGTCTAGGAAAAGTGTTGCTTGCATATTAGTGAAGAAAGCACTTATTAAATCCCTTATGTCATTTGGAGTGAATGTGTAAGCAGCAAAAAGTGAACCAAGTACCCTTATCACATAAGGTGAATTTAACCCATAGTCAGTAATAGCTTGTTTTGTATCTTTCAGAACTGGGAGGGGGATTGGTTCCCAGACGGGGTGATTGTTGGGGTGATAAAATACGGGAAATGCTTTAACCAAATTCAAATCATCAGCTGTTGACGCTTGTTCCTTTATGTAAGTCCATCTGCTCCTCTGGGCACTGGATGGGCAGGGACAAATACATTCGCAGGGTGGTGGTACTGAAGGGGTTAAAGCGCCAGCTGCTGGCGCGGCGGGATAAACAGCGCTGCCGTGGGGACCGGGGCTGCCGGGGGCCGTGCCATGCGCCGGGGCCGGCGCCAATGGCGGCAGGCTCAGGGGGCGGTGGGGACGCGGTGCCGGCTGAGCTTCCACGGGCGGGCTGGGGGGCGGTGCCGGCGGGAGAGGCGCGAAATCTTTGCATGCCGTTTCTCCACGCCGTGTGTGCTCCCCGCTCTCCTGGGTTTCGCCCGCGCGGTCGCTTAGCTCACTGACGCCATGACGCTGGTATTCTGTGCTTTGTTTCTCCCTCCCGCCGTCCGCCGTCCGCGGTCTCCCCCGCCCCCCCACCGCTCCGGGACCCTCGGGGCTTGTCCTTTTTCGGGGATGGGGGCTTGGATTTTTGCTCAGATTCTTGGAGATTTTCATTGGAACTGGTTATTTGGTGTTGCAGCACCATCAAAATCAATCTCCAAGCAATTAGTGCTTCGGCTGCGTTTTTGTCCCCTCTGTCCTTTTGTTTCCATATGTGGTGTCCAATTTTTTCCCAGTCCTGTATTTTTAAATCGTCCGAGACCACTTCGCTGCAGTTTTCTAGCCATTTTGCAAGCGATTTCGCCGACTTTTTGTCTAAGGGGTGCCCATGTTCAATAATAAAGTCTTTTAGCTTGCTGTATACAAATTTTTGAGGGGTTGATAACCAGAGGCCCATTGCGAAATTACTTAGGCTTCTGTTAGTCTGCGGTTGGTTTTAAAGTTGATTTTGTGAGGGTGGGAGATGGGTGAGGGATCAGGAGCTTCCCCGGCGCTCACCTTTTTCGGTGCGAGGGCCTTATGCCGCAAACTGGAGTTCACCGGGAGGGACCAGCGGGACGGAAACGCCTCTCTCTGCACCGTCCGAGCCGTCGTGGCGTGGGGGAGGTTTTCTTAAGGCAAAAACCTCTGCCCGACGGTGGGCGCCATTTGTCGCGGTCCGAAGGGAGGAGGGGACAGGACACGAGGAAGGGTGCAAGCAGAATTCTTTATTCAGGCGTGTGTCCGATTCTTAACCGTCCCGCCAGGGAAAAGGGGGCAGAACATAGGGTGGGCTATCAGACAGAGCAAATCAGAATAGGGCACAGGCAAAAGGGGGAGGAGGAAGCCTGGGCATGTGCAGTTGTGCACTGTGTAGAAACCACATAATAACAGTAAAGTCCATATGAAAGTCCTGCCAATTGCTGTATGCTTTTAACTGTTCCCATCATGAATCTTGCTTCTCTACAATGGTATACCTATCTCAATCTAGATACAGCACCTTTGCAAAAAGAATCTGCTGGCAAATGCAGCATGAAGGTGCAGTTCATGAATGGCTTTCCTGAATGGAGAAATTGTATTATGGTGGTGTAAAATATGTATAAGTGAGATCATAATTGGGTTGATTAAATTAACTAATAGCTAACCTAACATCTCATAGTCTCATGGCATCTGGCACTTAGATACATGTTTTATTACATAAGTCAAGAGCTGGGATATGTTTTTCTGTTTACTCACAGTTCAGTAGTTCAAAGGAGAATATCTGTGAATGTATTGTATATATTTGTGGCCCCTGGGGCACATTCTCCTTTGTTTCCACTACACTAATCCATTGTAAATTCTCTGATGTCAGATGACTTTCTTGTCCAGAGAGTGGTATTCTCTGCTGGATGCTGGATTTATGGACAACATAATTTGAGCCCTCATTCTTACATTCACTGCTTTACTTCTTTTCAAGTGAACTTCTTGCTTCACTTTCAGTGCACAGTTGACAAACCCCAAATCCTTTTGCAGAGCTACAGTTTCATTAGTAGCATATGGCTATCTAACAGGTGAAGCAGACTCTGTACAAATGAGAATTTGCCTTTGGGTCTTTTCATACTTTAACTTTCATGAATCTGGCTGTTGCATATCTTACTGATTTGCTATTTTAAACTTGATTTTTTTTTTTATTCATCTTAATCCAGCGCATTTCTGATGTGTCTGAACAAGTTTAAAAGATTGTTACAAATTGAACACCTCACTTGCAAAATTTTATGTTTCTTGCTCCTCTTACTAATCCTCTCCCTCTACTATCCTATTGTTTTGGTTCATGATACTCATTTAGGTGTGGCAGTACTTTTTTCCTGTCTCATGCCAAGCTATCTAGGCTCCTTCCTCAATGCCTCATTACCAATTTGTGTAAGCTACCTGCCTTGCCTTAAGGTTTGATTACCATTTGGATGGCATATACTTGCCTTGTCTCCTGCTTCTTTGGAGCAGGAAGGGTGGACAAGACTCTTAGCATCTTACCAATAGCTTAGAGAAGCCATTGAACTTGCCAGAGAGGATAAATAGGGTGGGCTAAGGACTATTTTGCATCGCTAGACTCATGCCAAATAACCAGTGAATCTGACCCACTATGTTTATGCATGCGTACAGCATCAAACACACTGCTGAGACTTAGCAGACAATAGGATAATGGATGAGTTAAAAATACCTATGACAAATTCAATACAAGAATTGAAATATAGGGTAAGTGGAAAGGTGAAGTGTTGGTGAAAGTCTTAAATCTCAAGCTGACCTTTTTTTTCACCCACAGGACTTGCTTTTGCAACTTCTGTGCTGTTCTGTGGTTGCTTTAATTTATATGACTAATGACATGAAAGATGTAAAACCTGTAAAAATACAGTGTTTGGCTGCTTAAATTAAGTTTATGAGTTTTTCTTAAGCCTGCCAAACAACTTAAATATTTCATGGCTTTCACAGGCTACAGTTCTAATATTTATAACTCTTGTGTGCAGATTTCAAAAATTATAATTACAACTCCCAGGATCCCAGATATAGCAGATGTTCAATATTTTGTATGATGTTGGCAGAAATGCTTTTCATGCTCTTTTTGATCTCAGTACCCCATGTATTGTATCTGCTACAACAAGCTGTTGATAAGAGAGTTTATTGTTATTTCCCTGTAAAAGACTCTGTAGAGCAGATTCAGGATGGTATATAAAGGAGAATGAATGAGAATTCAGCCCTAACAAATAATGAGGAACCCTGTGCAGTGCATTCTTTCAAATGCTGCCCTAGTAAATGGTGTATAGGTTGTCTCTCATCACATAGATCCACATAGGACTTTTGGAGTTATTGTGACCCTTTCATTTTAGGCTATACATCCTTTCCCCATTTGCCTGTATTGATGAATCACATCATTTCTCATTCTCTCTTGTATATTCACCCCCATGGTGACTGTGTTCCCTCTATGAGAGTGCAAGAATAGCCTTATTTGAATCAGGTACCAAAACCCACATATATGTTTTAATCAGTGAGTTGATGTGTGAGATAAGATTGTAGCACTGACTCAGACTTTTCTAACGATCTGCCTAGATAATAACAAGAGAAATGAGCTTTAAGCAGCTGGACTTATTTCAACTCTTGCCATGTTTTAGTTATATTATATATCTTATTATTATAATTGGTTTTTTCTCTTACAGCTATATTGGGTACTCAGTTAAACTTCGCTGTCACTCAAATCATTGCCCAAAATTTACAACACTATAACTTTAATCACACTCTACCCTTTAACAGGCAGATTTTAATTTCAGTCCACAAAGGCAAAAAAAAAAAAAAGAAAAAAAGAAATAAAAATCACATTAGTAGGTTAATACAATATCCTACAGTATTACTGTAAATGCATAACAGTAGCAAAGAGTAGAGATCCTTATATATATCAAATTATGTAAATTTCATTATACAATTATTCATTACAGCCACAATTAGAAATGTGCAGAAGACATTAAATTTCACACAATTTTTTAAGTATAGCTTATAAAAAAATTCAGATTAGTACCTGGCATTTGATTTTCATAATTACCTTAAAAATATCGACACAAATATAAAAATTAGATTGAAAACATAATAAATTTTGAAAAAAATACAATTTACTGATATATGGACCTCTTCTACTACCCATGTCTATAGTACAACTATAAGAAAACTAATATACAATGTTTTCAGGAAATCATGTATTTATTTGTGTTGAAGCTTGTTTGTTTGTTTGTTTGTTTCTTATAGTTGTTCAAACAATGAAAACCTCAAACAATGAGAAATGTTGCCATTTTCTATTTACAAAAAAGGAATCTACCAAAATCAAAGTGTAAGTTGCATCCAATATGGCAAACCCTTGAAGCTTACTGAGATTTTCTAGAGCAGAAGATGGCAAATAAAGTGATGTTTCCAAATTGGTGACTTCAGATCTGATAAAACTACTCTTGATGAGAAACAGCTGTAGGAAATTGTATGATAGTTAACACATATCATTTTGTGAGTTTGAACACCACTACTCAGGTAATAGTAATAGATTAAAAGTTGTATTACTTATCTTAGGGCAATGTTTTATATACTAAATGTAAGTTGAGTTTAAAAGAGTGGTTCCAGAAAATTGATGAAGTTAATTCAATTACATATATTGTACTTGTCTGTTTATGGGGCAATATAAAAATCAACATCGAGTTATGGAATTGGATGTCTGGAATCATAGCAATGCTTTTTAGCATGCTGGTCAAACCCCTTTCACTGTTTTTTTGTTCTCATGAACAAAAGTTCTCGGAAGTTCTATGCATTAGTATCTTTCACATGTTTGAAATTAGTGCTCCTTTTGCTTCTCCAAGGTACAAAAGCACACAGATCTAAACATCAGTGTTTGTTTTAACACGCTTTAATTGCTTTTAGTTCTGTTGTTTTAGTATCCAGTATTTGTAAACTGAAAAGATAACTTGTCTTTTTAGCTGGGAGCGCTGGGTTCTCCTGCAAACTCTAGGTTACAAAAGCATTTTTAACTCTGTGTCTCTCCAGAAGATACATTAACATCCAGAACTGATGCAGAGGAGTTACTCAAAAGCCTGTAAAATTAACAGCATAGCCATGTGCAGTGGACTGAAAATGCTAATTAATGTCACATCATGGACTGTGGGATGAGGCAAGATTCATTATGTCCTGGCTCTGCCACTTAGTTCATTCGGGAGATTTTGTATTTTAATGTAACTATACCTACATTTCTGAATGAACTTTGTTAAATAGTCTGTTCACAGACTATTTTCACATACTTCTATGAGAGAACATTTGCACATACTTCTGTGGAGAATAAATACCTTACAGAAGCCTCTAATTTTCCCTGTACAAAGTTGTTATTTATAAGCATAATTAAACCCATGCTTCACTCTAGCAAATCCTATTGTTTCCACATTTTATCTTTGTCCAATTTTAAGTTACAATTTTCAGTTGATCATTACACCAGACTTGAACTTGCTGGGCTGCCCTTTGTGCAGAAGCAAGTTTTTCTGACACGTCAGACCAGAAAAAGTTCATATATCTTTAAAATCCAGATAATGGGAGTTTTATTTACAATACTTTAAAAATTCACCTAAGACACAGACTTACAC